CTGGCGCTGGATCGGGTACAAAAATTTGAGCGCCCCAATTGGGTGGAACCGTCACTGGGACCATGGTCATTTCCGGTTGTCCTCGTCCGAAAACGAAACGGGGCCGTACGCATTTGCATTGATTACCGAAAGTTAAACTCCATCATGGTAAACGATGTTTACCCCTTGCCCCAAATCGATGATCTTCTGGACGTCATCGGATCCGCCCGGGTCTTTTCGAAGTTCGATATCCGACACGGTTTTCACCATGTCGCTGTCAAACCATAAGACCACCCTAAAACCGCTTTTGTCCTGTTTGAAGGCACGTGGTAGTGGGTGCGGTGCCTAACGAGAATTTGCAATGCCCTAACTACCTTCCTTTCAGCGGACCATGAATATGGCCTTTGCTGAGTTCCTTAACAAGACCCGAATAACCTAACCTTTGATTCACTTCTGTGTGATTGTGTATATGGATGATATTTTGGTTTTTTCATCTTTTTTTTTTTTTTTCTAATCAGAAATTCCATTTCAAAATATAATATAGCTTAGGGTCGTGGACCCCACAATTCAACCCGGTTGGAACTGGGGCAATTACCCAGTTTAGGTTGTGTTGGAAACTGCGTTCAGCGTCCCACCCATTCAAAACCACAGTATCTACAACAGGAAAGAACTGCGTTCATCCCTCTCAGCTTACGCTGTCTGAATTACTTCTAAACCAAGGCTATATCTAATCATAGTTCTTAATCTGTCTTACATGCAATTGTCAGCTTTTCGTTTGTGTCCAGCTCACGAGATAAGAGTTAATGCACCAAGTGCTTCGGAACCAGCCCTTGGGCTCATCCTTCTGCTGTCCTTGGTGTACCTTGTGGTGCCAGTCCGCTCCAATGGTTCTGCGTATGCCCGCGCGAATTGCAGACTTTAATGCAGGAAAGGATGTCCTTTCTCCTTTGAATATTGGTACATTCCTGCTTATCCAAGCTCGCAGCAAATGATGCCTCGAATGGTCTGGGCTAGGTACCCCAGGCTCTGTCCGGGATGGCAATTTGCTGGAATTACGCCATTCGAATCCCGTTCTTCAGTCCATGTAAAGGATGTTCCTTCAATCCTTTTCCAGGTATGCTGCCACCAGCCCCAAACGCAGGCTGAGAAAGAGCATGTAATCCACAGATGCTGAGTGGATTCCCATGCCAAGTCACTGCGCACACACTTGGATTGGATTTTCACAGTTCTTCTCCAACAACCACATTGCAGATGGTACCACTTGTAGACCCTGAAGCCACAGCAGACTAGCCTGGTTTTGTGAAGCTAACATGCGCAACTGTGACCAGTACTGTTGGATCTGTGCCGACCGGATCTGAGTTGAGTTATTCTTGCTTAAACCACTGGTACCTTTGTCACGTGGGAAAATAGCGGGCCTCGGTTGGTCCTTTGATTTTTCGGAGGCTGAAACGAAGTGACGACCGCCGATCAGATTTATCAACGGCAGTCGTCGCCGGGCCCGACCTCCGAATCTTTAGGAGTTCGGGAAAACTGCCACTTTTCCCTATTTTCCCAAAACTGGCAGGGCTGTTATACTCAAATAATGTAGTCGGAGTTTTACATCTCACAGATCAACCACATCAAAGTATGGACGTGGAAACACTCGTCCATCACAACCCTTCTACTCCTCTGCTCAAGCCGTGGCGAGACTGTTGCTTCTCGCGAATATATATACTACTTTCATCCGCTAAACTCCACTCCATTAATTAAATGAAATAAATAAATAAATAATAAAATAAAATAAATAAATAAATAAATAAAACCAATGCAAACGTGTGACCTTGCTTTCGTCATTACTTCCTTCGAGTAGCCAACTCGGCCATTCCTGCGATACTCCATCTGTCTGGGCGTCAGATATCGAATCGACATTACCCCTTCTGCATCCCTGGTTCAAGATACAGCCTGTCGTATTCTCCTTCCAGGGTGGCTCGGTACTCTGGCTGGAGGCCTGGTACTCGTCGTAGGCAACAACGGGTTAGCCTACTCGGCCATTCCTGAGGTACTCCCTCCGTCTGGGTGTCGGATATCGAATCGACGTTACTTGGTCCAAGATACAGCTGTTGTCGTATTCCTTCCAGGGTGGCTTGGTGACTCGGCTGGTGGCTTGGTACCAGGCAGCCCCCCAAGACCCTTTTCCGCGTGAACCCAGATGATTTTTCACAGGCATAGTCTTCACAGGTACAGTTTCCCGAATAGTGAAGCCATAACTGGCCAGACCCTCCCTCCGTCCCTTTCTGCAACCCGTCTCAGACTCGTCACAAAATATATGCTCGGATACTCTAACAAGCTCAGCTCCCTGTGCAAGGTCATGAGCAAAACGAACAGTAGAGTGTCGGAGCTAGTATTGTTTTTTATCCTATATATCGTTCTGATGATATTGGCAATTTTCTGCTCAGCAGCCCCAAAGGATGTGAACTGCTTAGTTGTTTTGTATCTTGGTTCATTTCATTCCTAGATGCTTTCATAATTTTTGGATTTGTGTTCTGATATTACCTCAACAGGATTGTCAATTACGATGATTTTTGTCTCCAAAAATTCCGCAACATTGTTCCCTCCATCAGTCCTTTCTAGAATCAAGTCCTTGTGATAACAGTCCCTAATCCCATCCAGCCTGACCTCTGGTTTTTTACGAGCATCAGGGGTATCCCTGTACAAGGTAACTAGCAACAAATCATCAATGAACTTCTGACCCATTATCAACTTCTTTTGTGATCCCAGAGTCTCCAGGAAGCTGTGTTCTCCTCTCATGCATACAAGGCAAGCGAGAGAGGGGCTAGCGTGGTCACCCATTGGTATGCCCTTAGTCTATTGTAGGATCTCATCCAATGATTTGAAAAAACAGTTGTCGAGCAAGAATACAGTAAAGCTCATGAGATCAGAGAAGCGGACAGACTTCCACCCTCCTCCTCCTGCAGACTTCTCGATTCTACCTTCTTTTCCTCTGATCTTTACTCTTGCCCAGTGTCGACCTTTCTCCTTTTGTTCACAAAAATTCCAATCCACTGCTTTTACAACCTCCCCGTATGGTATCATAGTGAACATTTCTTTCACATCATAGGTTCTGAGCAAAACCGAGCAATCGTTCCTTGTCTTTCTCACATTTTTGTTGATCGATTCAATTCCGTTTTTTAGTTTATTTGTCGCCCCCAGATTGGAATGTTCCAACCACGATGTTCTTATGAGCAGATTAAGGACTTTCTTCAATGTTCTTGCTGCCGATCTGATCGGGCTTGCAAACGATGGACATATGGGGCGTTTTTTCTCCACATGCTTATGTTTGCTCAAGATGAACTCGTGCTGAATTAGACAATCTTTGTTCCATTCTGCGATGCGATCCTGTTTCTTGTTTCTTTACGTTTTTTTCATGTCTTGTTGGATTTCTTCCTCTTTCTTCATACATTTATGATATTTGGGGTTGTCATTAAACATCTTCCTCATGCACAAGCTATACAGCACCGAGCATTCAACCAAGGTTTCCCCAGGGTTTCGATCTACAGGTGATAGGACAAGTCCATCAAAAGCACCCTTGATCCCTTTCACATATTCAACAAGAACACATTCAGGGTCAATAGGTGGACCGGCCCTGTGTATCTTTGTAGGATTGAGTCGTAGCCGATCCATACAAAGACCAATCTTTCTCAAGGGTTCAACCGCCAGTTCACATGCTGCAACAATCTCATATAGATCATTCATTCTCCCCGGGTGCGGGACATTCCTGGAATTGAATAGGAAGGATCGAACCTGAGGCACATCACTTAGTCGGACCCGAACATGCCATTGGTTCGTGGCAAGTCATAATCCCCACAACAACATGCGCCCTTTTTCTTGGCGTAGTGTTTATGGTTATGCAGCAAGTCTGCGACTGACCTGGCTTTCTTCCAGATCACCATCAGCTTGTTCTGCAACAAGTCCACCAAGTTAGTATCAGATACTTCCTTCCGTATCCAATCACACAGTTCCTTCCGTACTTCTTTCTTGTCTATAGATTCGCAAAATGGAATTTTCGTCACCAATCTTATTATCGGATTAATCATAATCCTCCTTTTCAGTTCCCGGCTAATAATTCCTTTAACGATTTGCCTCCCTTTCTTCGTGTCAATAGCTTTTATCCCCTTCATCATATCATACAGTTCAGAGCTCTCTTTATTCCGCAATTCTTTCATTTTCCAAGGAGCTCTCAGTAGTGACAGGATGTCAGACTTCTTGCGGTCCACTTTAGACTTATTATTCACGAGCCAATCCAAAACCCATTCCCCACCCCTTTCAATACATCCTTTTGCATCCTTCAGCAGCATACGTTCATCTCCAACTGTGATCTTGCTATCCCCATATACCAACGATATGACCATCCACCCATTTGCCAATCTTTCCTCTGGATCGTTACTAATGGCCAAGGGTCTCGATTTACCCTTCGCGTGATTCAGAATTGTAATTAGATTCATAGTAGGTTCACTGCCATTAGTTCGAAAAAACAGAGGTCTATTTACAAGAATCGTTTTCCAGTTGTTCGATGCCTTCTTCTTTCTGGATCTTCTCGGTCTCTTCCTGCACTTCTGTCGCTTCACATTCAGACATGGGTTCTCACTCTCAATCACCATTCTCTCTCTACGTAGCAGATCAGACTTAGCACCAAACCATAGCGGAATCGGGATATAGGATGAAGTGTGCTTCTTCCTAAGCCATTTATGCACTTTACACGTTGAACGCTTATTAGCACTCAGCTTGTGTTCCCCCCACCGTTCCTGCAAGCTACGCCCAGTTTGTCCGGCATACGTTTGCTTAATGAAGGGTGAAATCAGTACATATACGCATGACTCAGCACTACAGATATTCTGTAGATCACTATCATTCATCCCGCGCCAGTACTTCACGAAAGTTCTTCCCCAGCTAAAAAAAAACCGTAGGCATGCATAAATGACCAGTCCTCTAAAATCTGTTTCCACTTCTCGAATCAGTGTGTTGTCCTTGCAGCATGTCTCCTTGAGCCAAATGCTCAGTTTCTGGAGGAGGCGTGTCAAACTACGCTTAGATATGCCTAGTTCCCCGAGACATTGCCTTCCTCGTCATCTTCAGAGTCCTCTCCTTCGGCCGTGTTTTCTTCATCATCGTCCAACGCCTCTTCAACTTCAGCTTCATTCTCAGTGTTGTTAACCAGTTTCGTAAATTGGTCCGTATCTTGCTTGGCTAGTTCCCAGACTCCTCTATCTTTCCGGTAACATCTCACGTCCCGACTCTTGCACCGCGCCTTAATCTCCTTGTAATTCTTGGTCATGTAGTAGTCCAGTCTACACCTCATGTACTCCACGACTTCGTTTTGCGGGTCCATTCCCTTGCCTTTCTCTCTCCGATCCTCTTCATCGATCGACACCTTGTCAACGTTCTGGACCACCGTTGCTGCTTCGATCGTGTCGCTCTTCTTCACGGCAGAATTAGCGCCGATTCCCTTCATCAATGCTTGTAGCATATCCTTAATCTCGTCCAGCTTGGTGTCCTCTGCTGCGTTCCCAACCGTTTCGTGGTGCACCTCCATGTTGCCCCGAATATCTTCTTCATCGGAGATATTGATTCGCAAAGGGCGAATCTTCACTTCTCCGCCCGCACTTTTCGATCTCGACTTCGACCTTGATTTTGCGATCAAAGGTGAGTCGAACTCTCGCTTTCGCTTCTCGCTACTTCCTCCATCATGACACTGCTCCTCTTTGATATTCTTCTTTCCTTTCACGTCCAGAGCCACTGATGCTTTTCGATCCACGTCCTCCAGTTTGTCCGCAATTTTCTTCAAGGAGTTTCTGAAGGTGCTCGCAATCCAGGCCTTAATCCTAGACTCACTCTCGCCACTGCTATCCTTTGCTCTCCCTTTCTTCCCTCCTCCTTTCGCAGATCCCGCGCCACTCGATTCTCCATATGAAGACTTCTTGGATTCCTCCACCAGATCTCTCGACTTCCATTTCTCGATCAGCTCAAGGTGCTCCTTCGTGAACCAGGCCCGTTGTCCTGGTCCCGGGAAGGAGTTCACGCTTGGCTGGCACTATCCATACCCCCAATTCTGGGGTGGTGGTGATGGCTGCCACCCATATCCTGATGGAAAAAAGCCCGCGGGCGGTTGCATCTGCATAGCTGGCTGTGCCGCAACTGGTACCGTCATCATCTGCATTGGCTGCGCAGGTGCTTGTACGTTGGTAGGAGTGGTTACGCTTCTCGGTGGGGTCTGCGCCCCGACAGGTCCCTCCATCCAGTAACGATTACACCCCAACCACCTTCCTCTCCCCCTGCCCCTGACTCGAGCGTACATGCGCCTTGTCGGGCAGGCGAATACGATCGCTAGCAGTACTGCAGCTCTAGGTGCAGTCGGTTGCCTCGATCCGCCTCCTTCGTCCACGTGGTGGAGTAGGTCCGATGGCAACTCGTGGTGATAGAGAATAGCAAGATCGAACCAATACTGGATAAATGAAAGATTAATAATGAATAATAATAATAATAATAATAATAATAATAATAATAATAATAATAATAATAATAATAATAAAACTGATAATCAATAGCGCAACCAATCTGCACATCACGATAGCTCACGCAGTAGTACGTAGTCTCGCTCTCCGCGCATTCACGTATCAAGCGCGCAATCGCGACGGCACCGAGTAAGCGTTCCAGAGCATTACCGCAATGTCGTTCACTCAGCTCAAATGAGTTATACTCAAATAATGTAGTCGGAGTTTTACATCTCACAGATCAACCACATCAAAGTATGGATGTGGAAACACTCCTCCATCACAGCCCTTCTACTCCTCTGCTCAAGCCGTGGCGAGACTGTTGCTTCTCGCGAATATATATACTACTTTCATCCCCTAAGCTCCACTCCATTAATTAAATGAAATAAATAATAAAATAAATAAAACCAATGCAAACGTGTGACCTTGCTTTCGTCATCACTTCCTTCGAGTAGCCAACTCGGCCATTCCTGCGATACTCCATCTGTCTGGGCGTCGGATATCGAATCGACATTACCCCTTCTGCATCCCTGGTCCAAGATACAGCCTGTCGTATTCTCCTTCCAGGGTGCCTCGGTACTCTGGCTGGAGGCCTGGTACTCGTCGTAGGCAACAACGTGTTAGCCTACTCGGCCATTCCTGCGGTACTCCCTCCGTCTGGGTGTCGGATATAGAATCGACGTTACTTGGTCCAAGATACAGCTGCTGTCATATTCCTTCCAGGGTGGCTTGGTGACTCGGCTGGAGGCCTGGTACGAGGAAGCCTCCCAAGACCCTTTTCCGCGTGAACCCAGATGACTTTTCACAGGCAAAGTCTTCACAGGTACAGTTTCCCGAATAGTGAAGCCATAACTGGCGGAGCTGTGTTGAAGAGGTATGCTTCCTGATCTGGATTGATCTGAGGCCCATTTTTGGTGTGTGCTGATCCAGAAACTAAGGTGTCTGCCTCTGTCATCAGTCCAGCATGCGCTGAGAGGACCCGGTTTCAGGTCCCTGATGGGGTTGAGATGGACGCAAGTCTCCAGGATTACCCTTAGGCTGCCCGATCAAACGGTTTCAGCTGTGACTCGTACTTCTGACGCAGTCCATGTGAAGCTCTCCTTGTACTTCAGGAAAAAGGAGATATCCCTGCCAACTATATACACAGTTTCCCATTCTTCCACTTTACGTACCATGCGAGCGTCAACGTCAGCCACCTTCCAGAGGACACTTGTAGTCAGTTCCCTATCTGTTCTGTACCACAGGCCAGGGGGATCCGCTTCCTGAGAACCATCAGTGCCTTCCATTCCTCAGGAATTGCCTCAATGAGCTCAGTTCTGTGCTTCTCTACCAAGGTAAGTCTTCCCAGCTTCTATCTCAGCTCCTGTTCTTTGAGCCAATGGTCATGTCATTCCACAGATCTTCAACTGACAGGACCCCCCTCTCCATCCATTTCCTGCCCAAAACTCGTCTTGTGCTTGAAGCCTTCCATTCCTCAGGAATTGCCTCAGTGAGCTCAGTTCTTTGCTGCTCCACCAAAGTAAGTCTTCCCAGCTTCCATCTCGGCTCCGCTTCGTTGAGCCAATGATCATGTTATTCCACAGAGCTTCAACCGGCAGGACCCCCCTGTCCATCCATTTCCTGCCAAAAACTCGTAATTCAATTGTCATGACGTTGAATATTTGGAATCGTTGATTACAACGAGTAGGATCCTCAGAGGCTATATGCCCAGCAACCATTCTATCTCTCTGGTTGAAGATATAGTCCGATGCCATTAGGAAACTAGTGGTTGAATTGACCCGAGCTTATTTCACCGCAGCAACCATCTTGTGCTCGAAGCCAGGAAGGGATTCCCAGTTCTATCCAGCACCTCACTTCTAGAAGTGGGATTGGTCAGGGCCCTAAATTTATTTTTTTCCCATGCCTGAGAACCAATTGTGGGTTGTTTTCAGCTCAGCACAGATAGTAGCCGCCGGGAATGGGCAAGGTTGGGGGCTTGCCCGCCACTCCATCCTTGATTGGACTTCAGTAGGTAATTGTGACCTGGCTTTTTCAATTTCAATAGGAGGGCAGTCAATCCCCTCGTGAGAGGGTAATCAATGCTGGCTAGAGCTGCACTTTTTTTTTTTTTTTTTTTTTTTTCGGAAGGCCCTTGCGCAAGGCTGAAATCAGTTCAATCTCGATTTTCTGCCCCTTTCCAATCTACTTCGCTAGTGGGACCTCGCCGTAAGCACGAGGCGACACGGCAGGTCTCGGGGTCAAGGCGAATGTGTGGCAGTGTGCGACAAAGTTACGATGCACCTGGCCTTCTTCGGAGCCCGGTTCTTCAAAGCTCAGCAAAAAGAGGCCATCTGGAAAGTGCGGGCCGGATCCGTGGCAGGACCAGGTCGCGCCTGTACTACGCTTGCGCTAAGCGTCCACGAACCTGACCCTCATAGGCGTCAGATTCGTGCTTCGGCTCGCTCACAAATGCGGATGGGAACACGACGACCTGAGAAATACGGCGTACCTGAAGATGGAACTACCCGCAGGGAAAAAAAAAAAACAACAAAAAAACTACCGGATGGAACTGGACCAATAGGTCACCGACCGTATGCTGACGGGTAGGGCCTGCTCGTGCCAAGGTGGCATGAATGTGTCCACATTGTACGGCAGTATTCATAACTTCAGTGGGCCCGGGGCCTAGTCAGCACGAACTGCTGTCAGCGGGACTCGTTGCGGTCGACCTGGGGCTACGTCCAACTTGCACGAATTAAGAGATATACTGACCGTAGATAGCAAAGATCAACGGCCCAAATCTCCTAATTTGCGCAAGTGGGACCTTGCCCCTGGAGATGCTTTCGAGATTGGCCGGCAGAGATCTGCGGATCGTGTTTGGATGGAGGGGAGGCCTGTCCTTTTCCAAACCCCCACGTGTTTCCTTGAGGACTTGTCCTTCATTTCTTTTCTTTTCTTTTTCCCTTGTTTTTTTCTTTTAGCGTGAGTCGTTGGAGTGCGTCTTCTCGCGTTTTTCTTTCCTTCCCCCCCCCCCCTCCCCCTCCCCCTCCCCCTCCTCTCCCCCTCTTTCCGGTTCACTTTCTGAAAAGGATGGTCAGTCCAGACACGATTGTATCCGTCGATATTTGAACCCATGAAATGAACCCATCAGTAGGGGTATCGACGGGGAGGAAGGAGCCTCTGTGTCCTTTTTTCCTCGTCACAAGTCCCTTTTTGCCCCGAACGTAACGCACCCTCAAATTGAATGTATACAAGCTATATGTCCGGCCAGATACATCCAAAATAAGGGTGCGTTGTGTCTGGGGGAAGACGGCAGCACAAAATCGTGTTGGTCGTGATGAACGGTGGCCGGCCGAACTACAGACACAAAGACACAAAGACAAAGACGGAGAGAGAGAGAGAGAGAGAGAGAAAAGGCACCCAGCAGCCGCGCGTAGCGGGAGTGACAGCTACGTAGCTGACAGTCCACAGAAACCATAGCTCTGTGTGTGTGTGTGTATACGTGAGAGAGAGAGAGAGAGAGAGAGAGAGAGAGAGCTATGGCGCTGACGGCTTGCGCGTTTGCTTCGGCTCCCACCGCCGCGAAGGCGGCGGTTTCGTTGGGAGCTGCTGGTTCCGCCGCTGCCCTCCAGACACCGCAGAACCGCGCTGTCGCCTCAGCATCGCTGCCATTTGTCGTCGACTCCCGCGCTTTCTCTCGACAGCCATCGGCGCGCTTTGGAAAGGCGGCGCCGTTCCCGTCGGCGATCCCGAGAAACGCCGGTAGGTTGATTATACATCCTTTATTCTGTCCAGGTTCATCCCCCCTGCTTGGTCGAAGCCGGTCGATTTGTCATCAGTGATAGAATCTGTTACTGTATTTTAAGCAGCATTATGACCCAATTATGCGAATTTTTTCATGATGGAGTTCCAGTCCCATGGGTTGGGCCCATCGTTGTGTCCCATTGGAACCCTTGAGAGCGCTTTGACAACTCTTCGAGCCTTGTGAAGAAGGACGAAAAATCATCCGCCTCATCTTACTACCGTCTCCACTCGAATAGAACGCCTGGTCAGTATAGCTGTATTTGTTGCAACTTTCAGTCTCGATACAGTGATAATACAGTGATGATGACCGGGCGTTCTATTCGAGTGAAGACGGGCGGGGTAACTCATCCTTAGGCCGCCTGTTGCTAAGCCCACTCATTTATGGTCTAACCCCCCCCCCCCCCCCCCCCCCCCCCCCCCCCCCCCCCTCTTATATATAGATGGCTGCATTCTATTTCTTTGGGGGAAGCTGCAAATGCTGCAAGTCTACGATTGAAGTCTATATTCTCCCCCTTCTCCCTCCCCTCCCCCCCCCCCCCCCCCCCCCCCCCCCCCCCCCCATCTCCCGGGCATCAGACGCAATGTGTACTGCAGGGGAAAAGGACAAAAGATAAAAGAAGAAATTTGAAGAGAATGAGAAAACAAGGTTGGCTGGCATTGCGGTCGTCGGAGATTGCATTTGCCAAAGAACGACACGTGGCGGGTTCTCGTCAWTCCACTTGCCCACCCGCCAAGACTTTTTTTTTTTTTTTTTTAATGAGCATCTGATATTCCCTTCATCCTCTGCCATTTTCTCTCTCATCTGCCATTGTTTTTTTTTTCGTTTTGTTAAGAACAGAAAACAAAACGCTCCGCCGTGCTCGTGCCATCTGCCACCTGTCGCACATGCATTCTTCTGTGCGCATCTTTCTCGTCCTCTCCCTCCTCCTCCTCCTCCTCTCCCTTCTCCTCCTCATTTCCTTTCTCCTCCTCCTCTCCTTTCTCCTCCTCCTCCTCT